ATACTGGCAATGTGTGGGGAATACCGCGAAAATAAACAATAGGTTTATTGATATATATTTTTGTATCGATAGTCATGAACTTTTTATTGGACAAAATAGACTCTCCATTAGCAAATGTTTACTCTGTGTTAACGTTATTTTGTTGTGTAAAAGTGAGATTACATGTGTAGAGGATTAAATTAATCATTTATTCGTCCCACAACGGAGACATTTACAGTGACATGTTTTTGCCATCGATTATTTTATCATACTGTTCTGTACAGATGAGACTGTCATAGATTTATTTATATGTGTGCCCGTTATTATTTTACCGTCCTGTACAGATGAGACTTTGTAATCAGATGTAGCCTATGTATATGTGTGTCTGTGATTTTATACTGAATGTAAAGTAACTGGAAATACCTGTGTGTGTGTGTGTGTGTGTGTGTGTGTGTGTGTGTGTGTGTGTGTGTGTGTGTGTGTGTGTGTGTGTGTGTGTGTGTGTGTGTGTGTGTGGTGTGTGTGTGTGTGTGTGTGTGTGTGTGTGTGTGTGTGTGTGTGTGTGTGAGTGAGAGAGAGAGATCGAGAGAGACTCCTTCTCCAACCTCCCAAACTTTATTTTTATGTGTGCATTGTTATTTGTGCTTGAGCAACATTTTACTTGAACTTGATGTCAATGAAATTAGTTGTAATTATTGTCCTACATTTTAATGTGTTTCACAGCTGCCTGGGCCTAGTGGCCCACAGGCGGCGTTTATCCAGCAGCCAGAACATCCATCCGGCCCCCAGGTCAAGATCTACTGTGGCTCAAGGGCCTTCACCAGAGCCATCACCACCAAGGACCAGCAGACCATCATCACTACATCTGCCTCCACCTCCATCTGTGGCTGCCACCAGGTCAAGATACACCTCAGCACAAAGGCTCCACCACAGCCATCACCTTCAACCCAGCCAGCAAGGAGGTCTCGTGGAGGTCTCGTATAGCACTTGTACACCCCACCTACACAGCAGCCCATGCACCATCACCCCCACCTACACAGCAGCCAGACCCACTGTCTTGGAAGACAGACAAAGACCTTGACACTGTCTTGACATTTATAATGAATAGTTGGTTGAAAGTTCTGATGTTCAATATTGTAAATAGTTAGATTTTCCAGTTTCTTATATTTATATTAGGGCTGTCAAACGATTAACATTTTTAATCAGATTAATTACAGCTTAAAAATTAATTAATCATGATTAATCACCATTCGAACTATGTCCAAATTATGCCATTTCTTTATGTATATTGTTGTGGGAATGGAAAGATAAATGAAAGAAGGCGGATATATCCATTTAACATACAGTATCTATGTATATTATAAAATGTTTCTGTTTGTCAAAATGAAAGACAGCCCACACACCTATCAATCATCAAACCGTGGGGTCTTAATTCATTACGTGTTGATTTCTATCAACGGGGGAGTACTTCAGGAAAGTCGACGGGGGGGAGGGGGGGCTAGTGGAGTACTTTGTGACCACAGAGTGTGAACATTGTGATCAGCTGTTTTAGCGCAGTTCTCCAGTGAAGGGGGGAAGTCTCCCTCCGCAGCCGGTTGGCGTAGGTTTTGGCACAATTCCGTTGTACAGACCGACGTTAACAGCAGCCCTGTCTGTGCACACGGAGAACCGACTCTTTCGTCCGGTGATCTAACCGCCTTCTGGAAAAGCTTCACAAGTACGTACGTACGCAAATGCGCTTTGAGACACAAGTGACAGACAGTACGCATTTCAGATTACGCATTTCAGATTACGCACATAACCTACGTACCAGTTAGTGCACCCCTGTACTACAGCAAAAGTATTCTCCGTCGGGACTTCCTGCAACAACACCACGCCGTTATCTTGATTCTGATTGGCCAGAAGACATTATCAAAGATGTTCTATTGAGAAGACGATCACTACGTGACAAAAGTTTTCAAAACCTTTCTGGTCTTCGGTATTTCCAGACAAGTGGCTACTGAAATCAATCTTATTAACTGCTGTCTGTGCAATTCTCAGCGTGAGTTGGCGGACTTTATTTTGCTTACTTTAACATCATTTTTCATGGTGGGGCTAAGCCATTTCTTGGTATGGGTGTAGCCTACCCCAGCCATACCCTGGCGCTGCCACTGGTGGGATGTATGAGGCGGGCCATTCTGCACATGCGTTAAATGCGTTAAATATTTTAACGCAATTAATTCAAAAAATTAATTACCGCCGTTTACGCGATAATTTTGACAGCATTAATTTATATAAATAGTTGGTCGAAATATTTATAATAAATTGTTGGTTGAAAAAAAAAGGTTGAATGCTCAATTTGTATTTGTACACATCACATGAACCTTGGTATGTAATATGAAGTCATTATTCAGTCCTAATGTATCTCAGTCCCTGCTGTGGTGAAAGTAGAGTGATAAACACCTATTTTACCTCAAAATTCGAATTTAATTGTTTTCATTTTAGACATGAATAACACATTTATATATAGTGTAATTCAAATATTTCACTGCTTTTGTGATCCTAAGACTTTGGTAACCAAATCTAAAACACCAAAACAATTCGATCACATGAGTAAATTTGTGTTTTCACAAGAGTTTTGAAGATTTTCCGAAATCGGATATCAAATGTTAAGCTTTTGAGCTACTTATCTCATCAAACAGTGCTCCAAGGTGAGTATATGCATATATAGCAAGACCAGAGATTGTCCTGAACATTTTGATATGTAACACATGGGTGCCATGTTAGAAGAAATACGTTTAAAAGGTGATTTAAGAAAACATCTAAAAATCGAGAAAAATACCCTTAGACTCCAGAGGGTTAAAAAGCCCAATTGCTTTTACAATAAATAAACATTGAATGTGTTTAATTTAATAGTAAAGGGGTTTAACGTTAGTGGCAGGTTGTGTGCAGTTGTGTAGTGGGGATTTTTTTACTGGGGGTACGCTATTTTAATTAGGTAATCCCAAACAATGCCACACAAGTGCGCATGCGCACAGTGCACTCACAAAACGGGCAGACAGGTCCACAGAAACTACCGGTATGCTTAGTCCTACTTTAGTTAGGCGCTCAACACACACACAGACTCAAAAACCATGGACACACTGGCACATAAGTTACATAAACAATTTATAGGCCTAATGCAGACATGGCGCTGCTTTTCACACACACACACACACACACACACACACACCTTGCGTTTTGAAGACTGATACATCCGAAATGGATGAACAAACTTTGCAGCCCAGTTTCCCAGCTTTGCAGTATATCCACGGGTATTCCTCTTGTTTCCTCCACCACATCTCATCTGCTCCGTCCATACCTCTGGGAAAGGTAAGCTTGAGCTAGCCAGGGGGACGTTGCTAGCGCAGCTAACGTGCACGTTAGCTAGCATTATCCACGTCTTTAGGCGGCTCTTCTGATGAGGTAGTGCTAGTAGCAGCTTCACTTGTAGCTTCGGTGCTGCTAGCCTCTTTCTTCTTGTGAATTATATTCTTTTTAGAAAATAAGTCAAGTAAAAAACGTTTGCCTGCCATTATAGAGCTTTTTCGTTAGAGTTCTTGAGGGAAAGAGCTGCCGCAAAATCGTCAGGCGGCGAGCTGGTTCGCCGTGGGGTCACGATTGTGATGACGAATCATAATTCTTTAAGGAAATCGTTTTTATTTTGTATTATAATTACTGTGAAATGTATTATGTTTTTGTCATTATTACAACAAATACACACTTGCAACTGATAACACTGGCAATGATTTTATATTTATTAGACTATAAAAAAAAAAGATCATGCTCCAAATAAGTGGGGGGTACGGCGTACCCCCGCGTCCAACGCCCACTACACCACTGGTTGTGTGTGAGAGAGAATAAATAAGACTGCCCAATATTTCCCAAAAAATATTTAGCATATTTCGCAACTTTCCGCAATTTCACCACATAAAATCACATAAAAACCCCCGCATATTTAATCGCATAATCAAGGATTTTTGCCCCGCGTTTTTCTGGAGGGTCTAATATGCTGTGTGTTTACATTACCAAGCATGCTAACACTCAGAGCTCGCCATGGAGCTAACGCTGTAAGCTACTGGAGAGAATATGTGTAAAGTAATGTCCTTGTGGTAAACCATGCAAGAAAGAAAGGTTTGAGCTCCATACTGTTTCAGAAATAAAGCTTGGTTAGTGGTTAGGAGCATAACATGGCATTTAATCACCGCAGCGTTTAGCTGAGCTTCTCCCGTTAGCAGGGGAAAACTGCGTGACGCTACAAAGCAGCAGAATCAGCCTGTTTGCAACAGGGCTGCAAAAGAGGGGTATGAGCAGTATGAGGCATGGCTATAACGGGTGATCTGTTTGGGATTTTAAGCAAAAAACTTCACAGACATGTTTTGTATAGGTGTGGCCCTACAATATATTTTTCCAATATAGCATAATAGGCCCACTTAAAATATTCAAAATAAAGTTTTATAGCAATAATTATTACATTATTACAAATGACACCATGGATAAGACAGATGTTTTGTATTGATTCCAATGTTGTCATTGCATCAGAGCTTTGTAGGCGGGATAAAGAATGGGGATGTTATCTTCCTGTGCCAGAGACGTAAGTTGATAGCTCTTAAAACAGCAAATATCTCATGGACAAACCTTTTCACCCTCGTCATTACCACAGTTTCTAAAAAAAATAGCACCAACTGGTTGGACTCATCATCCCCTACTGATTGGTCAGGTCAAAACACAATGTCAGTGTGATTTATGAAATGAAAGAAACGGATGATTCAATCTCCTTATCAAGCTTATTTTAGAGTTATTGAATGACAAAATAAACTCAGTCAAACAGCTCTCCGCTCTTCAACACTGACACCTGAGTCAAAGAACACATTAAAATGTATACAGAGGTACAGGAAGACAATCATTTTGTTTCGCAAAATAAACTACTAAAAGGGAGAGATGCAGAGAAGTGTCTGTCACATATTCACAGATAAACAGTTAGGTATAGTTGGAGCACTGACCTGGCAGGCGTTGTAGAGCAGCTGGTGCTCAAACTTCTTGACGCCCAGGATCTGCTGGAACATCTCGTACAGCTGGTCCTTGCTGAGGATGAGCTCGGAGGCGGCGCTGGCTGTCATCCTCTGCTGGTGCTTCCGGGGGTCCTCCTCTCCTCGGTAGATGGTGTCAAACTTGGCGATCCAGGAGCTCAGCACCGTCTCCTTGCTCAGGCCGTCGATCTCAGGCAGGCTGCGCACCCTCTTCTCTATGTGCTTCTTAAAAACCTCCCGGGAGTCGCTGGCCGAGCAGCCGCCGCTCTGCACCATCCGGGACACACGGTCGCTCTTGAGGAACACCTGCAACCAGTTTGTGAAATGTTCTTTATGCATCACAAACTCAGAGTGGTGTAAAGTAGATTTACTCAAGTACTGTACTTTAGTTCAATTGTAGGTGTGAAGTAAAAACTTCTTTGCAGCAATGTTGAGCGCATCATGAAATGAGGGAAACTGGATTCACCCGTCAATACACTGATATTTATTGAGAGACAGACAATTACATACGGCCGGGAAATCATCCTAGTTTCACACTGTCCTTGTGCTCCACCAAGGTAATCTCTGAACCAAAAGACACAAAACATCTAACCAACACGAGGAGAGGCGGGCTCCCAGAAAGCCCGCGTATAATCAATAGCCGATGCGAGACAATGGTCTGCTTGTCTCAAAGAGATCCAGACAAGCTTCAACCTACACAGGAGTCTTTGACTGACTACAAGCAGATGTTTGCAGTATCACAGATTCTATAAAACAATAAGAAACTCTATAAACAGATCAGATGAAAATATTCTCTTACAGTAGGTACCCTAACTTTACATGAGTGCAATGGCGGTACTAGATCAATTTAAGTGGGGGCAGTAATGAGTCAAATACATTTATGAGGGGCACATTTAATGCAGGAAGAAGGAGACTTTAACGTGTTTAGAGTTAAAAGCGCAACAAAGCGCATAAAATACATAACAAACTATTTTGTTACTACATTCACAAGATACCCTGCAGTATACAGTCATTACAACTAGCTTTGATAACACTTTAATGAATCAATAATTATAAAACAAATCATTTATATTATTCTGAAATTGACCAATCTGCACAATGACTACTATAGGAGCCATTTAGGGGTGTTGTTGTTATGTCAGTTTACTTTTTATATTATATTTATACTACAATACTATTTTGAACACTTGGTGGCGGGGTTTAGCTGCACCGTGTGTATAGAAGCAGTCACAGGTGACAGGAAATGACATGGACACAGGAGGAAGAGCATACCGATTCCACCAGCATGGCCAGAACGGCACCAGCCCAGCAGATGCTCATACCACAATCATTGACACAGTGTAATAAAACCTTCTTATGTAAATGCTAAATAAACCATCATTCTAAACTGCAGCAAAAGACCGGAAATCCATCTGTTCGTGTCTGCGTCAGGATCACTCTGAAAACCTCCTGTGAAAGCAGTGGCAAATATATAGAACATTGGAACATGGAAATTGCCATTACAACTACTTTAACCCTGTTTAGCCCTGAGCCTGTTTTTCAGGTCTCAGGCTCGAAAATGACATTCCCAGAACAAATGACCATATCTTCCCTTCTAAAAGGGTTAAATTAATAATCTTTTCTCTCAAAGTAATGATAAACCTGTGAATTGGAGGTAGAAAAGTCTGAAGATTGATGCAAAACAAGTGACATTTGACCTTTTTAGAGAGGTTTAGCAAAGAAAATCCACCTCTGAGGTGAATAGGGTGGAAATGGGGGTTTTAACGTTTCTCTGGAACCCATTGGTCGATTTTGGTGATTGACATCTCTTTCTGACCGTTAGAGCCAATAGAATCGAAGGGGAATTTCCCCATACACACACATGTTAACAAAAAAGGTGGGGGCTTTGCGCATGCAGGTTTGCATCAGAGTGAACCTATCTCTTGCTCTGACATCTGGAAACCGAAAGCAGGTTTATTGCTCATGGATTATCAGAAATATTCAAAGGGACACAGACACATTGGATTAACCTATGGATTAACTTCAGCAGCGTTGTTATCGTTTTAATGCCATTGAAGACCACTTTTGACCAGACAACAACCAAGGTTGCCGTTTTTAGCGGTTTTGATGTATGTTCTTGTTAATAGCTTCGCAAGTTCTTATCATGGAGTGATGATGTATGTACCCATCGATTCTGTGTCATCTCACGATCAGATCGATGGGTTGGACATGCAGCTACGATAAGTAATAAGGGTGTTATGAGTGAGTTTCTGTGCAACACTCCGTTAGCATTTTTCGCTCGTGGCTAATTCATAGGCTCAGCACTAGCTTTGTGGGTTTCTTTGAAAAATAAAATAAAAAATCAGTTAGCTGAGTTTCTTCCCGTTACATGGATATAAAACATTCATAGTTTATTGAATATTAAGATGCCCTCAGACGCTGTTTCCTGCAGATATCGGGGGTGCGGTGTAGAAGAGGTTAAGTATATTTTGATGCTAATACTTTTTAACATTTTGTTTGCAGGACTTTGACTTGTAACAGAGTATTCCTAAACTCTGGTGCTTCTACTTCTACTTAAGTAAAGAGCTGAGTACTTGTTCCATCTCTGTAAACTCATCAATAAGTTTGGGCCTGTGTTCTTAAAGAAGGAACTTGCTAAAGCTACCTACTGCATCATGGGTAAATACCTCTCGCCCACACTCGCCCTTCTGGAAGAACACAGTAACACCTTCAGCAACACCCTGACCCCCCCCCCAGACCAGGTAGACCAGGGCTCCACAGCTGTTCCCCTCTCACACCTTTATGTACTCATCACACACTAATAAATGTTCCCATTCCTGCACTACCAGTGGTGCCTTTTATCTTTATTTGTATCTCCCTTTACAGTACATTTGTATTTTTCTATTTGTGTGTACATACACAACAGTGCACATGTATTATTTTATTTATATAAGTATTGTACCATTTGTACTAAGAATCATGACCCCAAAATACTATTTTAGTTTGAATCAAGGACTTCAGTGTGAAATGCTACTTCTATGTAGAGAGCCCATTTTCATAACGGAAGGATAAAACTGACTTTAAGTATGTGTGTTCAGTAAAAACAAATAAGAATTGAAATCACAACCACAACACGTTGCATTAAAGCTGTAGTAATTATGAGTAGTAAATGGACACGCTGATGTCTCTGTCAGCTCTGTGTAAACCTCTGTTTCTGTTTCCTCTATCTTTCTCTTCCTGTCCGTCTCTCCGTCTGTCTGCCGGCGTCACGTCCAGCCTGGAGCTAAAGCCGTCTGAGAGCTTTGGCTTTTTAATTGAATTGGATAACCTGTGTCACCAGCTTCCTCTGTTAAATATCACACCTTTCTCATATGGCTGGCTGGTGCTGCCACATTAACTGATAAGAAAGTGCCAGTCAATGTGTCACTCTAGCAGGCCAACAAATAAACATGTTCCTTCTAACCAACAGCACCAGCAAACACATGTGTTAGTAAGAAGGCTTTTAAGAAACACATCAACTCATTAACAACAACGGTATTATGACCTATGTATTGTGAACTCTGTTGACTTTAAAAAGATAATAGAACATGGAGGAAATCTGTCTGAGCATGGAAAGAGCATTAACAACAGATATGTACTGATGGATCTATGTGTCAAAAGTTTAGTTTTAATAAGCAAAACATGTGTATTTTGTTACGTTATTTAACAGTGAACATAGACATTGTCAAATTAAGAATAAGCAATACAACAGATTAAATATAGGGCATCAAGCTAAAGCTATATTATGTGAAAGCAAAACTACAACACACAGAACATGTGTACCATGGACTGTACAAGACAATAGCTAAATATGAGCGGCTCCAGCCAGCGGCATGATGCAGAACTGAGCTGACACAAAGGGGGAGGGATGGTGGAGCAGGGGGCGGGGCTTTGTGATGCAGCAAAGCAGATAGCTGGTTCCTGGCTGTTACGGTGTGTGAAGCAGGCAGGACCCAAATGCAGATTAAAGTGAAAATTCCTTTATTTCAAGGCTAGGTGAACAACAAAGACAAAACAGAACACTCACCGACGAACTAGTCATGACACAAGACGAACCGACACTGAACACAGGAAGAGACAAGACTAAATACCGGGAGGGGTAATCACAAGACGAGACACAGCCGGGCAGAGGAGGAGAAACACAAGGGCCACAGGTGAAAATAATCAGACACTAGACACACCAGGGAAACTAACGACGGGAGGAAAAACACAGGGAAAAGGACCAGACAATATAACAAGAGGAAAACATGACAGGGAGAACAGCAAAACACGACATAGAAAACGTGACATAACACAATAATCGTAACAGAACCCCCCCCTCAAGGGACGGATTCCAGACGTCCCTAAAACACCCCAATAAACGTCCAAAAAAACAATGTCCAGCAGGGTGGGTGGAGGGGGACCAGTGGAGGGACACAAAACTAGGGCCACCAGGGTGGGTGGAGGGGGTCAGGAGGACGGGTTTGGGCTGACAACCCAGGCACCGCGGAGGACCCGGAAGGGATCTCGGGCGGACGGCCCGGGGGCAAGGCAGAAGCCGAGAAGGGGGACTCGGGCGGACAGCCCGGGGGCAAGACAGAGTCCAAGGTGGGGGTTATGGAGGGGCGAAGGCCACCGCGGGCGAACTCAGGGGGCCGAGCATGAGGGCGAGGACTGCGGCCGGAAAAGTCAGGGGGCCGGGCTCGAGGGCGAAGGCCGTGGCTCTCAGGGGCCGGGATCGAGGGTGAAGACTAGACAGCTCCGGAGGCCGGGCAGGAAGGCGCTGACGGGACAGCGCCGGAGGCCGGGCAGGACCCGGTGTCGGAGCTGGTGGGACAGGCCTCGGCAGGATCCCCCACGGAAGAGGACCAGGACACGGGATTGGCAGGACCCCCGGCAGGAGAGCAGTCGGCGGGGCCTCCAACGGCACAGGACATAGGATTGGCAGGACCCCCGGCAGGAGAGTAGACGGCGGGGCCTCCAACGAGACAGGACAAAGGGTTGGCAGGACCCCCGGCAGGAGAGTAGTCGGCGGGGCCTCCAACAGCACAGAACAAAAGGGTTGGCAGGACCCCCGGCAGGAGAGTAGTCGGCGGGACCTCCAACGAGACAGGACAAGGAGCTGGCAGGACCCCCGGCAGGAGAGTAGACGGCGGGACCTCCAAGGGGACAGGACAAAGGGTTGGCAGGACCCCCGGCAGGAGAGTAGTCGGCGGGGCCTCCAACGGCACAGGACAAAGGGTTGGCAGGACCCCCGGCAGGAGAATTGTCGGCGGGACCTCCAACGAGACAGGACAAGGAGCTGGCAGGACCAACGGCAGGAGAGTTGACGGCGGGACCTCCAACGGGACAGACATACGATTGGTAGGACCCCCGGCAGAGGAGTAGTCGACGGGGCCTCCAACGGAACAGGACATGGAGTTGGCAGGACCCCCAGCGGAACCTCCAACGGACCAGGACATTGGGTAGGGACTTGAGACGTGACTCGAGAGGGGACTCGAGAGGGGACTCGAGAGGAGACTCGAGAGGAGACTCGAGAGGGGAACCAAGGGGGAACTCGAGAGGGGACTCGAGAGGAGACTCGAGAGGGGACTCGAGAGGGGACTAGAGGAGAGACTAGAGGAGGGACTAGAGAAGGGAACTCGAGAGGGGAACTAGAGAGGGGACTAGAGGAGGGACTAAAGGAGGGACTAGAGCAGGAAAGGAGGGACTAGAGCAG